AGTGTAGTGAAATTTTACCATACAGTTTACCAGTAATTATACCTAGTATACATTTTACTAGTGAAATGTATGGTAAAATTTCCAAAAACTCTCATAAAGTTGTTGAAACTGCCACGTTGTCCCGCGATTACGTGATTTTCGGGGTAAATTTTAAAAGAAAATTCTCCGTGTATACGTGACACTGAAAAATTGACAAAATTTCTTCCTCCTTCTTAAATTGCAACTAAAATCGAAGAGCAAAACTGGTAGTCAATTAAAACTGCCGATGCGCAACAGACGGTTCTCCGAATTCTCAGTTAGACGGTTCGGCGGAATTCTCTTTCTCCACCGCTGCGCTAGTTGTTTACCGGGAAAGAGTAAGGTAATCGTTTGACCAAAGTTAGTTAAATGAGGTTATCGACCTAAATAGTTGGCAAGTCGTAGAGATAGAAGGGATAGGAAAAAGCCACGTCATCGAGGGTCGAGCTTTTCCTGTTACCATCTCTTTCCTTTCGTGGAATGTGTCCCGCACGCACAAGCGAGCCGGGTGCAGGTGGTGCTAGACGAGGAAACAGCTGTCCACAAAGCCACCCTCCCGCCTGTTCCGTTCCCCATTCCCTTTCCCTTTCCCTTTCCTTTCCTTTTCCCTTTCCCTTCGACGTTTGCCGCGCTGAACTTCTGTCGCCCCGGCAGTCGTCCCTTTCGTTTTCGCCGTTGTCGTCGCCGCCCGGCATCTCGAAAGCTATGCGATATACGGTAGCACCCGTACTTCGGCTCTCAGGTAGCCATATCCAGTTAATTTCGCGTCCGGAGTCATTTTTTCCCCCTTTCACATACATTCTGCTTTATACAGAAGCAATTTGCGAGTCCCCGAATAACTCTCTTATGATTTACATATCTTAGCAATTTTCGCATATTCAAAAATGCACGAAGCATAAAGGCGCCCTTTCTTTTCTTGTCTACCAATTTCAAAGGGAAATTGCGGAAGGGAGTATTTTATTCTCAATATTCTGAGCCGCGCAGCTATACGAATATTCCGTAAGGAGATTCCAAAAAGGGCATTTAAATTTTAGATACGGTCGAAAATATAAAACACTTGCGCGCGGATCTGGGCGTCTCAAGATCGCACGAAATATTAATACTTCAATTAAAACGACGTTATCGGCTCGCCGCGAGACTGTGCCGGCGGCGTCGCCGCCGGCCGGCACGGCGGAAGCCGGCCGGCCTTTGCCGGCGGCGGAAAAAGGGGACGAGACGCAAACGAGCGCCGGGAGTTAAGGTGTAGTCGCCGCCGCGACGCTCGCTTACGGGAGAAAGAAATGAAAAAGCCGACGCGCGTTGTGCCGGCGGCGGCGACGACGGCGGCGGCGGCGGCGGCGGCGGTGGTGGCGGCGGCGGCGGCATTCTAAATTTAGGAGGAAGTATTGATTTTACAATTTGGACCCCTCCCAAAGTAAAAAATAAACCAAGCCGAACGTACTCTACTTTGATAGAGTGCCTCTCCTCTGCGCGGCTCGTTTCGACGCACAGGCCGCCGGAGAGAGAGAGAGAGAGAGAGAAAAAGAGGGAGACGCGAGGAATGAAACAGAGGAGACGGCGGAGAAGGAGGTGAAGGAGGAGAAGGAGACGTGAGGGGGAGGGGGCGCGAGAGCAGGGAACGAGGAACAGGAAACCGGCGAGGGGAAGAAACAGGGTGGAAGCGCACGCGGGAGCGGCAGAGGAAGGGGGTAATAAAGAGGAGGAAGAGGGAGGCCGACGGGCGAGAGGGACGGGGAGGAAAGAGAGTGGCGAAATGCCGTAGTTCCACCCCGGTAAGAAACAAAGAACAGAAAATTGATCGTTTGTTAAGTTTTATGTTTCCACGGGGCAGGCGGCGAGGCTCGTCCGTCCGTCCGTCCGTCCGTCTCCTCTCTCTCACAGCCTTCCTCCAACTCCTGCATCTCCTTTTACCCTCTCCCTTCCGCTTCTCGATCCTCGTCCTTTGTATGGTCGACGTGTTTCTCCCCCCCCCCTCCCCCCCTCTCTTTTTCTCGTCGCGACGTACAATAAGACGAATCGAGGAAATTCTGCACGGCGCGCTATGGGAAAAGAACCACGGAGCACGCAGAAAAACGCGAAAGGGGCTGGGAAGGGAGAGAGATGGAAGGGGAGGGGGAGGGGAGACAGGTACGGAGCCGGCAGGAAGGGCAGAAAGATAGGGGAGCGAACGGGAGACACGTGTACGCGAAAAAAGAGCAAGAGTCCGGGTCCGTGGACGGGATTGCATTCGTCGTCTGCTACAGATCGTCCGGGTTTTTTGGCTGGGAATAGAATCCAATTATCAGGAGTCGCGTCGTCTCCATCGAGTCGGATAGGAAGGAGAGAGGGAGGGAGCGATGGTGATCGTGGTGGTATTACACCCTTACCACGGCTCCACGGGTTTCCGCGTTTGACCTACACGTACACACGCGCGCGCACGCACGCACGCACGCGGGGATACTCGTCTACGCGTCAATTCAACTTTTGATGATCTCACCACCCGAGCGATCCGATTACGCATCTATAATTATAGCGACGGCGAGATAACGCGCGATCTCACGTTTGCGGGAAGAGGACGCAGGGATTGTTTTGGACACTGACCGTAATTCCCATCGATGTAAGCAAATTGTCGCCGAGAGGTTCCCGAGCCGGATGACTGGTTCCAATAGTGGGCGTATCTAATTTATGTACCAGGCGAATGTGGAGCAACAAATCGTTCGGTTGGAAACAATTGGACATTGTTATGCAACACGGAGTTATTCTGTATCGCACAATGTAATCCACGGAGTAAATGATCTCGAAGAGACGTCTGCGATACACAACGTCTGAAGCCGTCTAACTTTATGATTTATTCACAATCCGATCTTGTTTCAAATCGTCTTCAGTCAGACCTCAAGTGCTCTTGAGATACCACTCAGCCAATGATCGGTACGACAGTACGGTATCTCGTGATCGTAATTTTGGGCTGCGATTATTGGGTCGCTAATCTGAAAAATCTCAAGAGCTAATCTCCGACCTAGCGCGTGACTCAAACTGATTGATTAATTTTACTAAATAAACGCGGGGATACAATAGAACAATGATGACGTATTGTTAGGTTCCTATTGTTGGACTTGGGGACATGTAGGGGACGTATTGTCATCGATTCGGTATATATTACTGCCATTGGAACAAATTATAATTCGACGATTACGCCGATCGAAGATAAGAACTTCAATCGTGTCTCCTTTTTAAATTTTCCCCCCCATGACGGTCAAAGAATATCGCGGATGAAAAGAATCACACTGGGGAGCTGGGCTACCCTCTGGCATCAAAGATACATCCTAGATGCGATTTGTCAGAAGGGAGATGCTCAGGGGAACATTGAGTTGAGTTTGGGAGAATGCCACTTTTCGAAATTATAGTCTTTTTGAGGCGGAGCTCCGTGCACCAGACACGACTTGGCCGGGCAGCATTTTGGAAATAGTTTCGGTAATTTCGAGAAGTGCTCTCCCCTCCGAGAGAAAATAACGGCCGACTAGCGAGTCGTTTTGCACGCATGTGTATGCGCATATATGTGTGTACATGTATGTGTGCGAATATGATGAAACGTCATTTCGCAATGCGCTCGAAATGGAATTCCGGGTAGAAACAGAATTTCGAGACGGTGTTGGCGGCGCGTGGTTACGATTTAGTCTTTCCCGCGGGTTACCGAAAACCGAGTTAGGCGTTTCGTCACGATAACCGTGTTTTGACAAGAGACGAAGTCATAAGGACGGGGCTCTAATTAGCGACGACCAAGTTCGCTTCGGTCGCGCACCGCGCACGCAAGTACCGCGGCTGCCGCGGAGCTTATATCGACTCGATTATTTTAATTGAAAATTGACAAGATAACTCTCGCAATGCAGCGAGGGACTGAGCTCGTTTCGAGCCGGATTCGAGATGAAATATCGAGGAAAATGGCAATTTTATTATATATTTCCCGTAAATCGAATTGTGAAATTCCACTTATCGAGTTTCAGTCATAAATCCAATTTCACGTTACAGCGAAATTCCGGAAATCGAGTTTCCGCGTATCCTGAATCACTCGCGACTAATTTCTCTATTTCGCGATAGGACTTCTTATATCGCCGACTTTCATATCAAGCGCGGTTCTGTGCTACAAGTTTCCGATTGATGCTTATCGTCACGGCGAATTACTAATCAGCGTACTAATGCATCTATTCGTGTTTATACGGGAACCCAGCACGCGTGCGATATTAATTCATCCGTTGCGAATTAATCTTAATAATTGATTAAATTACTTAAAGAGATATACAACCTACCGAGTCGAAATTTTGGCCCTATGTTGAATCTTTAATTCCATTATATAGTAGGACCTAAGACGGTAAAAGAGGTCGAGCTGCAAGTACAAAATTTACTCCTACTTTAAAACTGATAGCGTCGGAAATTTCTACTTTTGACAATTTAGCATTAAAGTGGGTCCTTTTAAGGAGCTAAAGTAAATTTTTAGAATTAAAGATTCAAGGGAGGAGTAAAAAAATATGTTATCAAAGTAGGTTATTGCTGACCTATGTAGGTGTACAGATCAGCTAAGTAGGTGTAAATTATCCTTACAAGTGTCAAAATAGTACCAAAATTTCGGCTCGGGCTAATCTTCACTTTTCTCGCGAAAGACAAATGTACGTATATCTGCATAGTGCGGCATACAAGTGAGTCGAGATCTTTCACGCTACAAAAAAAAAACTCACCGTGTCAATTCTGAAGGTAACGAGGACTGTTAATAACAATAGAGATCATTGGGAAAAAAAAAGACAGAGATCGCACGTGCGCGCGTCTGTCGATATTTCTCCCCGTTTCTAATCTAGCCTGTTTTTCAAATAAGCGTAACAAGTTGAAAAGTTAATAATTCACGTATTCATGCGACGGCCGTCTTTTTCCTGCAAGATATGCACGCGGGATATGAGAAAGCGCCTCATTGACGTCGCGTCATTATCGCGATGATCTCTGTCTGCTCTGTTTACCTTGTGCGCCCGCAACGTTTTGCCCTCGCAGGCGAGCGTGACGTCGCAGTAGGCCTGCCGCTCGAGCAGCTGCGAGAACATGGTCTGCAGGTTGCTGTGATGGTACTTCCATCTCAGGCAGTACTGTTGTGGGAACATGTTGGACGATGAGGATGATGAAGACGATGATGCTGAGCCGGCCGTCGTAGCGGGTGCGGGTGTCGTTGCTGTTGCTGTACAGCCTCGTTGTTGAAGCATGCGCGGCCCAGGCGCCGCCGCGAACTCCTCCTCGACCGAGCCGGCCACCGTCGCGTTCGCTTCCGGTTCACCGTACTCTCGTCGCCCGCCCTCGCCTCCTCCCGCGACCCGCCAATGTCTGCAACGTCGGGAGAACTCGTGTCAAGGCAATAGTATAACCAGTCCGCTCTCTGTCGGCCCTTTGATCTTATCGGTCCCGATCACGTGGCACTCCGCCATTGCTTTGGCCAGCAATCCAGCGGCTGGCGTGTGCGGTGCGTTAATTCGGGTCGTATTGTCAAAAAGCATCTATGTTTAAATAATCAAGCAAGTTTTGCCCAACTCTAATTATCTACCCGAACCGAATTAATGCACCGTTTTAATTCAGTGAATTATCACTGAAAACAGTGAAGTCACTGATTCACAATTATAAGTATGCCACTGAAAATCGCAGTGGTATACTGAAAAAAACTCTGGCTGCATTAATTAAAAATCTAGTAGATTCAATCAGTCGTCTGTTAGAAAATGGACGAATCAGAATTCCTTTAGGATTTATGAACTACGCGTGCGCCAAAGTTCGAATGTTTACGTTGTTCGTTGTGAACCGTTGTGTCAACGTCTAAAGTGAGTATTGATTAATACTCACGACTCCAAAAAATTAAATTCAGTATTTACATTGACAGTTTTACACTTGTAACTGTGAATCAGTGAGTAGTCATTGTTTTCAGTGATGACCTCCTGATTGACTTTTAGCGACTACTGTACGTATTCATCAAAGCTGATTTCACACTATCACACATACAACTTTTCTCTCATTGGCCTGACCGAAACAATGTCGGGTGCGCAGAAGGGATTGACGCAAAACGACACGAATGACAGAGCGAACATACCAGTTGTACTACGGTTACGGAATCGGCGCAAGGACACCTTGATATGACGCCGGTCTTCCACGAAATTTTCAGAGGCGTAAAAAGAGACTATAGTTATCTTTGAGACAAAAACTTTTTAAGAGAGCGATCAACTTTTATCTCTTCAGCTATCCGGTTATCATGTAAGAAACGTGCAAGGGTGCGGAACTTCTTCGTCAAATCTGTTTGCGTTTCGATAAAAATTGAAAAAGAACCGGAATCGTTTCACGAAATTTCGGTCGACGAGTCGTCATTACAGGCCGGAGCCGAGAGAAAATTGTATCGAGGCGCGTAACGTGAGTGCCGGGGCGCAATCTAAATGTTTTACATAAATTCGAGCGTGAACGTGAGCTTGCGTCGGGAACACGCGCTCGCTGCAGATATAACCCAACCGGTCATTGTCGCACCGGTATCGGGCTGGCAGGAAGTTTACCGTCACCGAAGGAAGGAAAGAAGCCCCATCGCGTATCGGATAGGATAACCATGCGTGAATGTTTATCGCGCTATCGTTCTTTCTTTATTCTTCATTCTGATAGAATGTTTACGCTCAAGAGCGTATCGCTTTTCGTACCGTTACTGATACTCCAGGGAGAGCGCTGAACCCTGCAACTTTTTCGCGCCCGCCTAATGCGGGGAGCGCATATTTGTAACTTTTATTCAGTTTAGATTAGCCCGATTAATGGAATGCAAAATATTTTAAGCAAAGGTTCTGCAAGTTTGGTCCCACGGGGGGGCGGCCACGTAATTTCTAAGTAGCTCTAGGAGGATTTTTAGACTCTCAATATTATTCAACGCGAAATTCAAGGCAAAAGACTTCCCCGCGTCTTGACTTTACTCCCATTTTACTCGGCGGATTTCTTTTTTACGCAGCAGCCTCGTATTGTCTTCTTAGAGAAATCTTGACGGACGATTGCTCGTTTTTACTACTTACTAAGTATGTATTCGAACCCCTGGCTCAGGATTAGACTTGAGGGACGGCTCGCTCTTCCCTCCGCAATACCCGTGCATAAACCAAGTTCTCGGTAACTTGGTCTATTTCCCCCTTCAGCCGCCGATTCGCCTCACCTGTAACACAGCAAAAGCACACGTTTTATTGCACGCGTTTCGGAGTGTCATAACGTCGATTAGCACGCGAGCCGAGATTGACGGTGCGATACGGCGAGTAACTCGTCGCACGTTCGGACGGAGGCGACAGCCAGCGGTATATTAGATGGACGGGCGCGATTGGGGCCGAGCGGATTCGCTCGTTTTGAGTCGCGCGGCGATAGAAATGATAGCCGATGCGGGGGGAGGGGGGGGGGCATTCGCATTAGCCCCGTCGGTATGGCGCGCTAACGGGGGACCTGAAACCGCCTAGGATTTCGGAATCAATTTTCGATGAGAGGGGGGGAAGATCGCGTTTCGTTTATACGTTCTCACAGCAACCGCAGCGCGGACTCAACGAAATTGTATTAAAGAATCGCCACGAAGTGCCGGCGATTTCAAGAACGTTCGAGTCCTCTTAATTTTCGCTCTCATCGATTATCGTTACCGCTTTTTACTCGTCTCCCGCGTGAGAATAGTCTCTCTCATATATTTCTGAAAAGTTACGCTTTCGTCTCGTTACCCGCGTACGTGGGAACTCAGGTGTTGCCTGCTCGCGCAATAAATAATTCCCTTGCAGCGGGTCTGACGCTATTAAGGCGTACGTGACAAATTCCAGGTACAAGAGGTGTCTCATATTATATGAGGCAGGCTCCTAATATGGGACAGCGGGGGTTTCCGCTAAATTGATAGGCATCGTCTGCTGGATCCGTCGTGAATTTATTGCCCCCCCCCCCCCGGAGTGAGATCTGTTTAGTGGAAAGTTCATTGTTGGATCGCGTAATCGCCGCGAAAGAAGATTGTGATTGAATTTGCATATTGGAAACCTGCTATCTCACAGCAGAGGCGTCCGTTTCGCAACTGCTCCGTGCAATGTAAAATCTCGAGCAATTTCGAGTCGCGTCAAGTTTATTGATACACCTTGTGAGTCTGGTGCAAATCTAATCTAAGGTATTTAAAAAAAAATGTCCCGTTATCGCAGCTTGACTGCTCTTAGATCAGTTCGGCTTTCACGCCTGGGCAATTGTTTTCGCGTTATTACCGCGGAATCGGCGTATTTCTACATTCGGGGAAGAGGCGCGAGGAATTCGGGTAATTCCGCTGGGGCGAGATAACCGGATGTAGGTCCTCTCCGCCGTGTCAACGTGTGTACATCGATTGCGCGGATAACGGCGCGGCGGCGCGCCGGATAACGACGCCCGGCAATTACAGTTAAATCGATTTCTATCCGCGTGGCAACTTGTCGATCGCGCTATATACGCCGCACGCGCAGTGTTCTCTCCACTCCACTTTTTTGCATGGGGGGATCCGCGCTTGCTATAATAATACGAACCGGAGAAACTACCCGGCGGCGAGAAACCTTGGCAAATAACGCGCCGAGGAGCTTTCACTACCGCGTTTTCTAAGAGAATTTTCGATAGCTCCTTTTTCCCCCCGGTTCGGCGCGGCGAACTTTCACGGGAAGGACGAAAATAAATCCTTTATTCGCGTCGATGCGTCAAAACTGGGAGCGAGATTCGTAGGAATTGCGCGGTCGACCGGTCCGAAGTAGAAACGATTCAAGCTCGACTGGTTCGAGCTATCCATTCAAAAAAAAGCGATTGCTTTTCTGTGGTGCCTTTAGTGGTCTGAGAAGCTTCTTTCTCTTCGAAAATGCTGAGATTCGCGCCGACACGGAGCGGATCTTTCGATTTTCGCTCGCGATTAACGGCTCTGTGAGGTCGAACGTGTCGAGGACGACTTTTAATCGGATCTCTCAAGGTCGACATGCGCGGTCGTAGTTTCGTCAAGGTAACGTAAAAAAAAAAAATTTCAAAGAAAAAAAAGGGAGGGAACAATAACGTCGATTACATTTGACGGGAGATAAACCGCCCGTATTATGGCGCGGTTTCAATGGTAATCCGCCCGTGGCTACGAGAGAAAAATAGGAAGGACGAAGTTTGGGAAGACTGTCAGTTTCTTTTTAAGCATCCTTCATATAAAAATCGATGCGATGCGTGATTGCCGCTGTACACTGACGTATTTCAGATTTGTAAACTCGCTGTGAAAGTAATATAGGTGGTGAAATCTTCAACGCTAAGATATTTAAACAGAAAAAAAAAGAAAGAAAGAGGAATGCCAGAAAACGTTCCTCTCTTTTCAATCTCGGAGTCCCGTCTTATTAAATATTATTTATTGTGCCATTCCTCTTGCAAATATAGAAATTGTTTTATCCGGAATTCCGCGAAACTTTATTGAAGAGCTCGATACTTCGGTAATGCAGTCGCGTCGCGTCGAGGTAATCAATTAAACAGATCCCTTGATTATAACATTGGCAATGCAAGAAAGTTCTGTATGACCTGAATATTTCTTTGACAACTGTATTTACCGAACCAAAACGTCTCATTCGTGAATTTTCTCCCGCCGGAGAGAACGGCGGAGCGGGGTTTTGCGCCAACTTCTAATTCAATTGTTGGAAAGAATGAGGGATGTTTTATATAGAAATTTGCGTCTTTTGCGTCGCTGTTCCAAAACGATTAAATTGTCTGTTTATTTTCATTATTTTATCTAATCACGCCGTTATTTTTTACCATTTTCTTTATATTGCGCTGACGGAGACTTTGCAATAGTCGAAACGTTCGTTTTCTTTTTGTTGATTGTTCAAACATAACTTTTCGCACTTGTTGGAAAGAGTGGGAAATGTTTTATACACA